TGCATTTGCATGGGTTTGTACTTGCACACATTCAGATTTCTGTTCACAAGCATGGTTATGTGTACTGTATGCTTTTGAAAAGATGACAGGTGGTGGGAGGGTAGTAGATCTTTTGAGACTTGTCACAGTGTTCCAGTTTATGAGCCAATGACAGGAGACACACACCCTTCCACATCAAAGTTTATTACAGTTCATCACCTCCCCACCTGCAGTGTAATGACATTTAGCCAATCCTATAAAAATCCCAGGAAACCTGTGGGTATAAATCAATGCCTTTCCACCTTTCCAGCTGCTGCTCACATCCATTATTAAAGCTTCCACATCATATTCAATAGAGTATGCGAGTGCTCTTATGACAAGCATGTGTACAGGTATGTATTTATGCCTGTTTTCCCCAAATCCGGCTCGGTGGACCAAATAAATAGACATTAATACAGATACATAGCACACACATACACACATAAAAACACACATAAACAACACACGATACTGTAGCATCTCCTCAAAACCCCCAGACCCGTGGAAAAAAGGATCAGTGTGTATCTCAGCTGACAAGCAGTTTACATAAAATCCCATTCGCTTCATTGAGGCAACCCCGCTAAGTGTATGGTTTGTTGCAACCTGGCACAGGACTGCACCAGATCCACCTGTCTGGGAATGGGGTTTCTGTGGTTTAAAAACCACATCTGGCAATTACATGTTTCTGTTCCTCTCACACGTACCTAATGCCTAATCAGATACAGATGCAGTGATTAGATTAATTCCAAAATATGGTATATAGACAGAGCCAGGTTTGTTGTTTCTGTGTTACGGTGTGTGTGCGAGCTTGCATGCATACATGTGCAAGTATGTAAGCTTGTGCTTGCCGATTATATGAAATGAGGGTTCTGGTGTGTGGTTCTTAATGTAGTCAATGACTACCCTCTGCAGGCAGGCTGAGTGAACATCAGGCGAGGGAGAGTAACAAAGGCAGGGAGAAGAAAGGAAAGATGATATGAAACAAGCAAAGTACAGTAGGGATTTAAATGCTGATGTACAATCATCAAATTTGAAAAAAACCAAAACATGTGATGTTTTCAGTTTATTTTTGTCAGTCATTTATCAATAGTATGTACTGCAATGTCGTATGGTTGCTTGTGTTATTTTCCAAAAGACACATTTTTAGCCCCATTTACCCAATTGATGATCTTCGTGCAGCTTTTTGACTACTTACTGAAAACCATTATTTAAAATGAGCCATCATTGTAGACAAGCACATTATCAAAGGGGAAATATGTTTTCATTGTAGCTGTGTTGTACACATTTATGTTGTTAAAAGGAAAATTGTTTTCCTGTCGCAATCTGTGTCTCATGTACTGATCATTTAGGACATTTTTCACATTCAGCACATTCTGATGTAAATGTTAGCGCATTCCAAAAATAGTACAGATCTCTGAGAAATGATGATATCCATCATTATAATCAATTTTGAACTAGTGAATGGAAACTGACATAGGTTCAATGGAAGTTATGATGGTTTTGATGATAACATAATCACAATTTCAAGGACCAAATCAAGTGACATCACAAAATTCAGTCTTTATTCATTCAGCAACTTGAATCAGGGCTGTCTTGTGATACCTGATTGCTCAATATGACTATTTCAGAACACACTGTACGTCTTTCAGCGCGCACTGTTGAAGGAACAGCTCAATTTCCTACAGAACTCCATGAAAAACATGAGCAACACTGAAACGATCAACAAACAAGAAAGCTAACCTATCGATACCATTGAAAGATATGTGCACATCCACACCGATTTCATTTCCATCTTTGTGAAGATGGGAGGTACATCAAGCTCTATTCCCCATAGGTTAAACAATTGCAGTTGAAGTACCTCATTTCTACACATCAAAAAACATTGCACAACATGAGTCTTTGTAGGAGCTGTTGAAAGAAAACAGTCAGTTTCCTGTCAAGGTGAACATCCTGACATCATTAGCATTATTTACTGCACTGACATCACGCAGAACTGAAGATTGTATATAAAAGGTGAAATATACCGCCTGGCATGGTGTGGAACTGCATCTTGATTTTTGCAGTCAGTGCAAACTGTACAAGGAAATTTTTAGTGGGAGGGGAGCAAAACATGATCATTTAAGGGGGTGTAGTATATCCTATGAAGACATCTTAATTTCTTCTCTCCCTCTCTCTAACACACACACTCACAGCCTGACTTTCTAGTACACTGCCCTGCCTCTTAACACATGTTAAGTACGGAGGTCAGCTGGATGCTAAGGGTCTCTCTGTTCTGTTAAAAAGAAGAATCAGCTTATTAAAAAGTGAGCTCTAGAGGAAGCATCCACGCTCCACCTCCCACTGCACATAACCACTTTACTAAGCTAATTAGCTACTTGGGCCAGTAGCTGGTGTCAGTGGGGGGAAACAACATATTTCACCCTGTCAGCTTCTACCGGTGACCTCAGCTGAACTTTTGATACACTATTAAAAGTAGATGTCCAGAGATGTCAATGTTGCCTGGCCGAAATCAGCTCGTCTTTATAAATTACTACAAGCCAGTGTCATTAATTAGCTTATAGGTCTCTGATCTTCCAAAATAAGGCAAACAGTTTTTCTAGTATAGTTATGACTGTGTACAAAGTTGTGTTTTCTCATGTGAACTAAACCATTTGTTTTTGACTGTGAAGCATGCTTCAATGTACCATGAATGAGTTAAAACTGCCTTTATCTAGCCATTCCAGTATCCCACCTTAACACAGATGAGTACAATAATTTGAAAAGCAAATAGCAATTACTGTAGATTCACTTCAATTGACATTAAATGGCTCTGGTTTTTCATCCACCTAGTTTTCTGTAATCAGAGTTGAGGATCATGCCTTTGCTTGAACCAAAGTAGTGAAAGAAAGAAAGACTCAGAAGGTTGTTGGATATTTTCAGTGTGTCTCCTTAAATGATCACTTACTGATTGCTTCCCGGTGCTGCCTTCTGGCACGGCAGCCTGGATCTTTGATTAGAAGAGACTACCCCATAATCACAAGTGTATGATTATGGCATTAGGCCGGATTCTTCACATCAGAATTTGCAATCAAGAAATTGGCGTCAGGGATCGATACAGTGCAGCACCTCATCTGATGGCAGAGCGGGGAGTGGAAATTGTATGTGGGGGGAGGAGGCTTAGGATCAATTAGGAAGTGACTGCCACATCTAGACATTACTTTTAATCTTCTAATGCATCGGCATAAAGGCGCGGGGCCCCGCGTTTGTCGGCTTCTAAGGAGAAGGAATCGATCCTTTCTGCACATCTTGACGCCAGTCTGTCCTGGGCCATTTCAACAGCATTCCAGGCATAATGAAAGAAGAGAGCCTAAATCCGCTTACCCTCCCTAAGTGAAGAAACTGTATTTGATGTCACACTTTAGGTGAGGCTGAAACATTTTAATCCTTTGAAATAGTTTCTAATACATCGGAATACCTGGTTAATCTCTCAGATGTACTGTGGTCTACTGTAGTGCTGGAGGCTTGCCTATTATGTGTTGACATCCTATTTCATCTTACTGATATGTCAAGCATATTAAGCGAGGTAAGAGGTATTGATTGGCCTGCAGAGTAACACAACCAACAACCTCTGAAAAACACAACCAGATGTGGAAGTTTTTCTACTATTCCTTTACTATGAAGCCAATTATTGAACTCAGAATTGAGAACCCATGATGCACTGGCAAACTATTGTACTGTGGGTAATATTGTTTCATTGGCTAATCTAAACTGTCTTGAACAGATTCATGCTACAATTGTGGTGAAAATAATACAGGGCCTTGGTGTGTTGTATGGAGTCCTTATCAGTGTCGTCAATGCGGAGTATGTGGCTCATTCAATTAATCAGGCATCATTTAAACCAGCAGGCTTGGTGACAGGGGACCCAATCACTGGTGAAAAAAGGCCATTCCCAACATTCCCATTCCATGTCCCCTGCACTAATGCACTGTGGCAACCTTCTAACTATCCAATTCCAGGCCTAGACCCCCGTGGTTTACACAGTCCCTCAGCTTCTTCCCAGTCCCCATCACTTCATTTTCATTAGACCCCACACCTCTATCAAAGGGAGGGCCGAGGAAAGCCACAGCTCCATCTCATGTCAGAAATTTGCCTCTAAGGTATAGGAAACTGAGGGAGAGAGTGCAGACAGAGTGGGGAGAGAAAGAGAGGGAGCAAGAGTGATGATGGAGAATGAAGAACCCAGGGCCTCCCTGAGCATAACAATTGTGAGGGAGTTTAGCCAGAGCAGAAAAGCGGAAAAGGATCATTTTGTGTGGGTGCATGTACACAAAAGGTGTGCAAGCGCACATGTGCTGTGTATGTGCACATTTACGTACATGGTTGTGTGTTTACAGTGGATGGATAAAATAAACACTGCATCAAAAGGGATATTAATATTTAGAAGACTACAGCACAACAACAGAGGCAAATCATGTTAGATGAATGACAATTGCTAGAGTGTGTCTACAGCTGCAAAGGCAGTCTCATAATCACAACTTTAATATGTGAATTTCTGAAGCAACATGAGGCAAAAAAGTCATTACCTGAATCATAGGCTCACACACATCAGTCATACACACACACACACACACACACACAAAATAAAACCTGAAATGTGACATGAAAATTTGTCTTAAAAGTCATGGCAATATCCAGTATTCATAATCTTTTCAGTAGCAGCAAAGGTCCCATAAAACAGCTGATACAACAAAAAAATAGCCTCGTCATTAAATTAACCAACACATTTGTAATAGTTGGTTATAAGCCTCAAAAAGCTGGATATTTGGTGAATGGAGTCAAAGTAACTACAAGCCTGTAAGTCATCTTTAACCATTTTAGAGAAAGCTAAAGGTTGTTTTCCAGGCAAATTATCTGTTTACAGCAGCTGTTCTGTTACATTCATGTTAAGGGCAACTAGCACCTCATTGTGGTTGCTTTAAGGCTGTTGTCAGCTGAATGTCATTGCTGTATTGGTTAATTGTGATCACATGGGTAGGGTCATAGTTCAGACCAGCCATTTTGGATTAGTTTGGAAAGTTTAGGTGATTCATCTTTGTTTTATCTTTGGCATCCACCTGTATCGAACCCTGGAGAAGCTTTGATTGTGAGTTACATTACATGTTTTGACTTTATACATGAGTATCGATGCATATGTTGTTGTATAAATTCATATTTGGTGAGATTTATTGATCATTACATTACCTTGTTGCCATGTGTAGTGCAGCCATATGTTTAATTCCAGCATGTACATTTCTACACTGTTTTTAGTTACATTAATAGCTTTTTTGTGTGTTTGCTCTTAGTTTCACAGAGTTGTTGAAAAACACTGTAAGAAAGCAAGTTGATGAAGACAAACAAGTAAACAGCCCTCAACTTTACTTCCACGTCTCACTCATCATTTAACCCTTTCAGTGTCTAAGACATCTGTTTAGCTACCTTGTGTAGAGCCACACAAGCAGTGGACAGAATAGCAGCCATACGTGATCTGTAAACATGCTCTGTAGTGAAAGGCAAATAAAATTATTGAGGTTAAAAATTTATCTCTTGATAATTTTTTAGATGTCAAAGAATAGCAGACAAATGGCCATTAAAAGTGCACCCTCACAGTTTTGTCCAACCAACAGTCCAAAACCCAGAGACACACAGCTTTTAATTATGTAAATATGGCATATTTGCTTTATAAAGGACCTAAAGTATTAAATGTTTAGCAAAATTGCTATTAACGTACTTGTTTAACACTACTGTAACACTGTAGGCAGCCATTTTGGGAAATGTCATGACTGATGATTGTTCTCAATGCTTCTATCAGAATTGTGAAACTATTTTTAGATGAAAACTATTCATAATATTTGCATTTTCCCATCAAAATCTGCCCCTCAGAATTCAAGGGTCATGAATACCAACACTAAATCCATCACTCTACATAGTCTACCTGATGATCAGGCATGTCAATAAATGGAAGGCTTTGGTTTGTAGATTATTAAGCAATCAATCATCCCTGAAAAAAATACTAGAAGGATATATATATCCATTTATTCCAAAGCAAAGTTGTACTAATTTCCATCTACAAACAGTTCAGGAACTGAAAGACGGCACAACAAGAAAAACTTTTCTAAAGGCATAATGTGCACCAATGCCTTAATATCTATAGATACTCTTATACTGTCGGGTATTTGTTATATGTTCCACAGTCTGTGTATGTGTGTGTGCACCCAACAGTGAAAGGAAAACTAGTCCTGCTGACAGATTCTAAACCTGACCTGAACGGTGACCCCTAGCAGCAGCCCATGTAGCGAAAGATGGACAAGCTGGCAGGATGCCGAAGCTTGCCAACATCTTCTCTTTTCTCAGCACTCTCAGGGACCGATAAAGCTTTAAAGGTGCTGCTGAGATGCTGAGACCAATAGCACAGAACCACCACCCCCACACACATCTAAGAAGAAATGATATTCTGTCCTGCAGAGAGAGAAAGTTATAACTCTGAGATCTTCAACAGTGCCATGATTAAAAAGGTGGAGTGAAACATGAAATGAGTAAAAGAAAGAAGAAATTGGCAAATGTTCATTGTGACTGTGTAATTGCCATTCTATGTATGTGTAAGTAACAGATACAGGAAAAGACAGTACAAAAGAGAGAGTTACTGCTACAAAAGCAGGACAGTGCAAAATTGTGTGTGCATAAAAGGGAGCACTGCCTGATAACTCAGGCATCGTTTTATATCTTATTAAAAGGCAAAACGTAAAGTTCTGCCCTCCAATCAGATGCCCAGACATAAAACTAAATTTAAACAAAATTTGTATCTGAGAAAAAAATGTGGTAAAATACATAAAATAAAAAAAGACATATTTATTGTACATTTTTGTGACAACAGAACATATAATATGCAATTTTTAATTTTGAGGTATATTGAGTATGCTGGAAGGTTCAAAATTTTCTGAACCTTCTAGCATACTCTATATACCTTTCTGAAAGCATAATCCACTTTTAGAAAGTAAGAGTGGCATCAGGATATTATTCAGGGGTTCAAAAATTATTCAGGGGTTCAAAAATGAGCAATAGAATCACAACACACTAGTTTTCCCCAGCTCCTTATTGGTGCATGCAAAAAAAACCCAAAAAACTGGTTTGATGCTTCCTATTTATTTATTCTTTTGCCAAATCTTCTGCAACTACAGAATAGACCATCTGCTTCCTGTTTACACTGGCATGCGCATGCCCAGTGCACCTGAACGGGTCCTAGCTGTGCGTTTTCAGTCGTTTTAATGTACTCCAAACGCAGTTAAAATGCTGGTATGGACAGAGATCGTGTTCGTTTTAATTCTCCATTTATAAACTAAAACGGAGTAGTGTGGATGGGGCCTTAGTTTCCCTACCAGTCAGTCAGAACTGAAGAAGTCCTTTAGATGAGGGACTAAACGTCTTCCAGTATCTTCAACCAAGTCCAGTTGCCCTTGACTTTAACCTTCATTGGTTAGAGTTTCAGTGGTACAATGGTCTCACCGTATGCCATGGTATGGAAATTGACAGTTATCATACCCAACAGAGAATCTCACTTGCATGTGCGCATCTTTTTATTTATTTTCTAAAGGGAGCCTTTTTATACATACTTCCATTAAGAGGGTTTCAAATTTAATTCAAATTATAATAAAGTGTTTGTTCAACCAAAACATCCACCACTTAATATAAGTACCAAAACTCAAACCTGCTGTACCTCAAATTTCAATATATAGCCACATTTAAAAAAATATCTAATTTAAAACACCTGCTAGGTAGTATGTGTGGGTTATTTTAAAGAAAACAGAGGTGGTGTTAAATTAGAAATAGGTGGCGTTTGAGTCATGCTCTGTGTCTAAACATAACGATCTGGCATGGTCGTTAACTTGTAAGGGTAAGATAGAAATAGGAGTCCCTGTGGGTCCCAGCCACTCCATTTCAACCGTAGCATCCCAATTAAAAGAGTCACAGGGCAGAGAGGTTCCTCAGCTAGGCAGGAAGAAAGTGGTTCACAGTCCTCCATCTGAGAGGGACGACGAGTTAGGAGATTGCTCAGATTTAAATGATAATTTCTAGAGTAAAGAGAAAACCTCATTGATCAATTCATGTCACAGCTGTATCCAAACATAACTTTTGGCAGTCAATATAACTGCACAATACGTTGACCAATATCTAAGTACTTGTTCAATAATCATGAAAATTAGTTCTTTATTTTAAGAATTAATAATAGAGCAGCACAGAGCATGAAAAATAATTTCTTCATACCTTAAAATAGCAAAGGTTATTGATGCTGGTGGTAAGAATGTCACAATGAGCATAGTTCAAAGAAAAATAAATGTATTCAGCTTCAACTAAGATGCAAAGTTTGCATTCTTCTGTGTTCATTGTCACAAAGTACACTGAGTGATGATTCCCCCTTTTCCACAAAGACAGGAAAAGTGACAAAAAAAGAGCAATCTCTCCAACAGCATCCATTTAGATTTGCCTCAGTTTCCCTCCATTAGTTCTTCTAAACTTGACTAGCCAACTGCAGCTTTCTTTTAAAGCAATTATATTATTTTGGATTTTCTTATTGTAATCATCTGCAAAAGGAGCACTCATTATGTTGTTACCGGCTTTCCGTCCTTAAAACCTAATGAAACAGACAGTAACAAATAGGCTGTATAATCACTGGACCTAGGAAAAAGTTGCTTTAAAAAGCCTATTGTTTTAATTTCGTTTGCATTGTTGAACATATACTGAGAAATAAAAAAATATGGCTCAGAGTAGTGTTGTTTTATCTATCTAACAAAACAAATAACTGCACAAGATTCTGCTGATAAAAGGTCAATTCAAGGAATCATACATCCCACTCTTTACACTGTTATAAATTTCTGTTTTAACTGACTGTAAGTAGTTATAAATATTTTAAGATATGACAATCTAGTCACAAATAGATATTACAACTTGATAACACAACACACAATCTACACATAGATTCAGAATCCACAAACAAACTCCTCATGATCAACAAATGTGAAAAAAGATCTACAAATAGATTTAAAATCGTAAATGAAGACGAACAAAATAACGAAAACTAGATGTGAAAAAACATTGTCTTTAACTGAAATAAAAATACAAACGAGGCAACCGCGGTTACGACGAGAACCCCATGTAACGTTATGGGGAGGCTAACTTTGCCAGGAGACCCAGGTAGGGATCGTCTGCGTAGTTGGTGGGATTTGAACATGTTTTCTGTTATCTTTTATACATAGCCTACATGTGTACAAAATAATATGAACGCAACAACTGTATAGAGCTTTGTTAAGTTTAGTTTGGGTTGCAGGTAGTGAGTCACTGTCTTCTTTTCCTTGTTCTGTTCTGATGGTCTGGCTTAGTGCTCATCCTGTGTGTGGGATAAAGTTGCTCCTTGCCCATTGATTGTGAGCTCCCCTTGTACTGGGTTAACTGTCTGCTGGTCATTATATTTACTGCATGTCAGCCAGTGTGTGTTTTATGGGCTCATTCATATCTCAGCCAACCTGTCTCTTTGTGCTTTTAACATAGAATCTATTTTTTGATTAATATAGGTTTACATTTTAATATAGCCTTACTGCTTTCCAGTCATACTTACCTTCAGTGTGCTAGGGACCTGTTTTTTGTGGCTCCAAAGGGGGCATCCACTATCTTCCAATTTCTTAGCTGTCCATCATCTACATTTATTGTATTTCACCTATTTAACCAAGAATGATAGAGCTAGAGACTGGTGTAATTAATTTCTTGGGAACACTGGGTAGTAGGAATAGGGTAGTTTAGCTCTTGGGGATTTCTGTATGTATGTTTTAAATTATACCGTAGATGTAGCATGTGCTTCATAGATTTGTAGCATTTGTTTAGACAATGTGTTAGTACTTCAAAATATTTTTGAAGTACTAACACATTGTCTAAATAAACACAAAACAAGATCTACAAATAGATTTAAAATCCACAAACATCTCATGATCTACAAATATAAAACACAATCTACAAATAGATTTAAAATCCGCAAACATACTCTTTATGATTTACAAAGAGAAATCAGTGACTTGTACTTGACAACCAGAATTTGAATGAATGCAAAGTGATTTGTGTGTGCATGAGGGTCATATTATGTTTGTTGATTGTGTTACATTTGTTTTCAGAATTTTGGCACTACTGTTTAGCTGTTTTTCCCATTAGTCTAACTTGTATTTTTAAACCACTGTATAAAGACATTCTTACACAGTGCAATGCTCAGCATAAAAGTGTTGAATCTGTGTTCGCAGATCGCTGTGCATTTACAGATTCCTCTGCACATGTCTACAGATCATTTTGGCACTCTCTTTCTGCAGAGTACGATCCACACATGTAGTCAGCCAAACAGGGGTATTGCTTCTAAGTGATGTCACGTCCCCTCAATAAGCCCTTTTCACAATAAGAGCAGACACTTCTCAGATGGGTGGGCCCCCTGCCAGTTCTCTGTAGCCGCCGTAACAGTGCTGAGAGGCAGGCTCACCCTCCCCACACAGAGTTTGGGCAGCGCTGAGGAAGGACGGACAGACGCTCACAAGTTGGGTTGTCAGGTAAGCAGTAATAACTAACTATATATTTAATTGTGCAACATTTAATAAAAAGTAACGCTATCACAGCCTACTGCCGTTCTGCACTAACTTACTGTTAACGCTGTCTAGATTATGTTTTACATTTGCAGATAATGAAGTCTGTGGATTTTAAATCTAAGTACAATGCTTTTTTGACTCATAGTCTGTTCATCTTCAGTGATTATGACATCGTTTTGTCACCACAGCGTGTCAAGACAAATGCAACGCAATCTACAAACAGAACATGATCCTCACCTGCACACAAATCACTTTGCATTCATTCAAATTCTGGTTTTCACGTAAAAGTCACTAATTTCTATTTGTGTGTCATGATGTGTTTATATGTGGATTTTAAATCTATTTGTAGCTCGTGTTTTATATTTGTGGATCATGAAGAGTTTGTATGCTGATTCTGAATCTATGTGTAGATTCTGTTTACAAGTTGTAATATCTATTTGTGACTTATAGTCTGTCCATTTTCCATATTTATGGTATCGTTTTACCTCCATAGATAAATGCATGCTATTAATCCACTGCTTTCCAACTGATGCAACACAGAGACAATCTGCCTGTTTTATCTGTAACTTCACCATCTACTGAGGAAGTCCTACCTCTGCAATCTACAGACAAACCATGCCAGCATATGGATGCAGGCGTGCACACACACACACACACACACACACACACACTAATGTGTAGTGAGGATACTCACTGTCTGTCAACTTATATTAGGGCAAAAGAAGAAGCAGTCTGTCGAGGGAAAAAAGTGGCCAGCTAGGAGATATGTGTGCCTGCCTGACTTGATTTTCACCTACTGCCAACAACAGGGGGTGAAGTTAATGAGGTTGTTCCCTGGTCCTATCACTACCAACCCTGATGTCCTCCAACACTCTATATATCCTCATTTCCTAAGCCATCATCATGAAGTCTACTCCTTGCCACATCTTTCTCTGGAAAGACAATGCCTC